CTTATCTGGTTTTTCTGCTTCCAAGCTTAACAACTTTCCAATACATTCTTCCTACATTGTGACTGGAGTAATTTTTTTCTAAGATGCAAATGACAACATTGTCCTCATATATTGGCCTGACGCTCTTTTGCTTTCAGAGAAAAAAATGCAGCTTCCTTGATCTCCCTCAGTTGACTTTTCTAACTCCACATTTCACTGTTCTCCTGGCTTTAGGCCATGCAGGTATATCCCACCTCCTGCCATGAATCCTGGCAAACATACATGTTCTTTGAGTTGTCTGGAATATCCTATGCTTTCTTTATTTTGTAGATTTAGCCATTATCTTCCCATGGAACCCATCCTGCCTATGGTTTGATCACAAATCAACATTTATCAGCTATGTGTAGCCTTGGGCAAATTAAAATTACTCAAGTTCTCTGTAGAATTTATAAAATCGGATGAACCACGGTAGTTACTTCATACTGTTATCGTGTCGACTAAGGTGTTACACACGAAGCTTAAACAATGCCTGAATCATTGTGAGCACTCAACAACATCCTTAAGAAGAGTGTAGATGCTGTATTCTGCCCTCGTCCTGTCTCTGTCATGATTTTAATATTTCTCTTGTGTATTTCACTAGTATCCTGGCACATCGGCATCACCTCTAGCAAACATTTATGAAATATCATTTTCATCTGTCTCTCTCCCCACCAAACTCTAATTTCCTTGAAGCTACAGACTGAATTATATCTTTTCTCTCTACCCAGTGATCTGAACCCCATCTGCTATATAACAAGAACTCAAAAAATATTTGTTAAATAAAAATGGGTGAGATGAATATTCTTATCCCCAGAAGGGAATATGAAACAGAACAGTTTCTGTGTAACCATTTTTGAATGAATGGATAAATTTATTAATCATACCTTGGTATAGCAGAAGTATGCTTCAAGCTGATTTAGACAGTGAGACAACCAGCCATGGTGAAGGTTGGAGGCTAAATATTATTTTCTTTTTTCAATTTCTTCCTTTTTTAGTGCTGTTACTAATTAAATTTAAAAAAAAATTTTTTTAAATGTTTTTTATTTATTTTTGAGAGTCAGAGAGAGAGGGAGACACAGAATCTGAAGACAGGCTCCAGGCTCTGAGCTAGCTGTCAGCACAGAGCCTGACATGGGGTTCAAACCCATGAACCGTGAGATCATGACCTGAGCCAACATCGGCTGCTCAACCGACTGAGCCACCCAGGCACCCCCTCTAATTAAACTTTTGATCACATGATATATTTGCCTTGTGTGTGCTCAATGTATGTGACAATGTTTTAATTGGCTCTGAACATATATATGACTGGTGGATGTCTGATAGTCACAGTCCCTGACTATCTTTCCCAAAAGAATGTAAAGCCTTGTTTCCATGCCATTAGTAATGTAAACTATTTAATTCCAGCTATAACTGTCAATTGCCAAAAACATGAAGCAATCAAGCCATATTTTGATGCTATGATAACACTGAGGACATTATATTTTTCATGAGTAATGTTTCTAAGAATAAATGTGACCAATGTCTGCAGACAAAGGTAATACAAAAGTAAATATCTTACCCTAAAGACTTACAAAATGGATGCAATTCAGTTTGAAGTGATTATTTGCCTAAAACACCACTATTGCCTAAAACACCACTATTGCCTATTTGGAACAAAAAGAGAACAGGTTGGTGAATTATTTCAGAAAATGTGTTTATCAAAAATTGTACTTAGCTTAAGTGCATCTTATGACATTAGATATTTTAGTAGGAAAAGTTCTGTGAAACTAAACAAAAATAATCCCTACGTCTAAATAATGGATTTACAATTCCTGAGCTGAATACATGTTAGGGGAAAGGATAAATTTCCAGCCAGCACTTCCTAAGAATGTTTTTATCATGTAGCTTTAGTGAGTTTTAAGCATTTCAGGCGGCATAAAAATAAAACTAACTACAAGTTTTTCAGCATTTACTTTGGATGGGCACTGATGCTATATATATAAAAATGTCTTTTAATTTACTATAAACTCATCAGGTATGTATTATGATCCTATTTTAGATAAGAAAACAAAAGCTAAAAGAAACTGTTCGGATGATTCTGAACTCTGAGCATTGTGTTCAGACATTTTCCATGAAAGAAATTTTGCTTATAGATAACACAATAAATTTGTCTTTAATTGAATCTTGTTACTTGGAAGAGAAACAAAGAACTAAAGTTTAATGAGTCAATTATGTCATGAGATGTTTGCCTTTAGATGAAGTACCTAATTTAATCCTTTCCCTATCACTGTGAAGTATACACAATTATCCTGACTTTATAAAATGATTACACGCCTTATAAAGGTGAAATTAGTTACTGATGATAGAGGAAATGCACTAAAAATTTCTTCTCTTACTTAGTAGTGATACGTTCAGGCCGTCTCCATAAGTGACTAGAAACAGAGAACCCTTAAAGTCAATTAAACATTTTGGGTTTTGTATTATTAACATAGCTCACAAAGATTTTGGAAAAGTTTTCAGAAGACTGCTCTTTGAGTTTTTAAAATACATATTTGAAAAAACTGATGCATTTATTGTGATATATTGATTTAGGCATATGCGAATATATTTAAATTTGAAATAGAATATTTGCATATAATCCTTTGATAAATAATAAATCCATTTGTTAAGTTGTTGTTCACAAAATTTGGGAAATGATTTCCTTATATGTTTTAGAATTAGAATGAAATAAAAGTTCATTTTAATGACTGATAGTTAATCCAGTATTATGATATGAGTCATTTAAAATTTTATATTCATCATAACTGAAGACTAAGGCACCAGTGAAAATGAAGATATGCAGAGAATTAAAATCTTGATGGATACCTTAATAAGAGGCATTTCCATTTTCGTGTCAACTAGAAATCAAATGATCAAATATTAATTTAGAATACTTAGCTACAGAATTAAAGAAAACAAAGATTAGCAATAAGCAAATAAAACCAATGCTTATAAGAGCACTGAACCCATTGTAAAAATGGGGCAATAGACTTACATGAGAATCATAAGTCCTGTGATTAAGTTGGAATTTATTTTAGGATTGTATTATTAAAAAGAAAACAAATATCAAGAAAAGTATTAGACATTTTGTCTCTATTATTTTTATTTGTTTTGGATGTGCTCTATGACAAAAGATATATAGTTACTTTTCTTCTACTCTGAGTGGGTGTGACAGGTAGTATCTATTAGGATCATAATTGGTCAATAAATGTTTCTTGAACAGATGTTTTGTTGCCTGATGTTTCACCCAAACTCCAAAGCTAGCCAGGAATTTTACTTTTGCAGTCACTCCCACCCGTGCCTCTAAAAGTTTAAAGACACATTTATTATACAAATACTCAGAAAAGAAGTGAAATTATGATAAGTAGGCAGACATATGAGCTCTGTGAGAATCACCAGGGCTTGATATTTCTAACATCATGGAAAAAAAAAAAAAAAAAAGAAATACTCCATGTGCTTTAAGTCTCTGGATGATAAGAAAAATATGTTTTCAATGTTCCCCCTAATGTATTCAGTTCAATATGAGAATAGATATGTCTCATATTAATACTTAATTTCTAAATACTCACGAGCTCTATTAAAATTCTCTGGCAAAATCATACCATGCTTTCCTTACAGTGGACTCTAACTCAAGGTTTTGGCAGGCGCTGACTGATTAGCAGGTTTTTTCCTTCCCAATCACATTTCTGAGCACACCCAAATGGAGCTCTGGGAACTTACTGTTTAAATATATTCTTTACAAAGTATATGAAGGACTGTTTAGACTATCTAAAGGAGAGATAACTCAAGGTAATGGAGTGTAATAGAGAAATGTGAAATGTCTTTAAAACAAGATCACTTCAGATGGAATTATCATCTATACTCATATCTATACATGAAAGCACGGAATTGAGCTAATTTTTCATAGAACTCAAGTCCAGTGTTAAATTAAAGGAGTCTGTGTATTCCATATGCACACTGAACCACCACGTGGATGGTCACATAAGCCACAACTTAGTGACAACCATAGCTTTCAGATGGAAGTGGTCTCTTTCACTCATCACTATTTATGATTCTTTGCATCTTCACTCAGAGAAAGGCTGATTAGTGAGCAGCACTACAGAAGATGACTTTAAGCGCTAAACTTTGAAGAGCCCTCCTGAGGCTGGGGAGAGGATCTGCTTGAAGTGGGTAAGAGCATACTGAGGCATTCATTCAATAATTCTTGGGTGGGGATGGGCAGATGGATAAATATCTTTCAAAGAGACATAGGCCTAAATATTTCCAATGGTTAAATGGCTCCAGATATTCCTATCAATTTCAAACACCTGAGACTAATATAGCAATAATATGTTAACTACGCTGGAATTAAAATAATTGCATTTCCACTGTCGCAAAGATACCCCAGAATAAATATGCCTGGATGTCCTGGTTAGGTCTTCTCTGCACAGGACTAAACATAAGTGATCTTAATAAAAGCTTTTAACAATAAAGATTCTTTCTCTTTCATAATAGTTATTGGTAACTTCTATATCTCCTTTTCCCCGTAGGCAACTCTCTTTCTCCCCCTCTACAAAAGAAATATTTAACATTAGCTTTAATATGGGAATCTTCCTGAAACTCTCCCCAGGACTGTGAATTAATCTTTAATATTGGCTAATTTCTGCCCCCTATATTTAAATGTCTAACACCATGACACCAAATATTTATCCATGACAGTATCACAGATTTTATCTAAGAGCAAGCAAGAAAAAAGAAGCAAGTTCCTTTAGAAAGATACGGTGAATTCACAAGTTCGAGCTTATGAATACATTCTCTGATGTTAAAAAATGAGAAAATTGTGAGTGCAAATTTCATGAAATCCTTCTAAGAATAATGTTCTCTTTACTGCTTTTATATTGCAATCAACACAATAAAGTAATACTGAATATTATTTGCCCATGTTAAATCCAGTATCTACTATACCAAACTGAAGAAATTCTTACCACCTTCTTTAGTGCAAAGGCTGACAAGGTTATGCACAGTGTCCATCAGCTCCAGCTGCTGCTTCTGAAGGACACTGTTATTGTTGGTGGCTCTGTTCAATTGTTTCTCCAGTTCCTGGATAATATATGTTTGACGAGTAACCAAGACTTGAAGATTCTCTCTCTCTTCTTTTAAGGTGTCCAACTCTTCCTTGTGCTTTCCCTCCATTTCTAAGATTTTATGTTCTAATAAACTACAAGGAAATAAAGATAAGACTATTTTAAAAGTGATATACAAAAATGTGATTCAACTAGTTCCTGAGTTTATTGAAAGTCAGAAATTTTAACAGAAACCAATTTGACAATAAATTATATTAAAAACTAAAATATAATAGAAAAAATAAAGTTAGAAATTTTAGTTAGGTATGCAACAGTGGAAATATTTTGTAAGTGATAAACCCATACATAAAATAAATATTTAATGCATATATTAAGTTAGGATATATATATATGTATATATAATATCAAATGAAGAATTACTAGACCGTTTGTTGTCAGAGTAACGTTTGTTTTCTAAATATAATTTATTTCCTGGGGTATATGTCATAACCAAGGTAGCTGACTTGGAGCCAAACAATCACAGTCTGTAAAAGTACAGTTTAACTTTCATTTAGAAAATAGGTCCCATAAGAAACTGGTAGAATAATTCAGAAAAAAATATGAAAAAAATACAGAAACTATTTTTTTAAATTTACTTTGCACTCATCTAGGATTCTCAAAATATTAACTGATTAAATTTCACAATAGTTCTGTTGGGGCTAGGTAATAGTGTATTGATGCAGAAACCACAGGACCATAAAGTAAGCTATGTAAAATCAAGTGAATTAGATTTCTTGGGATTTTGATGCCTCGTCCTGTATCATAACCACAGCTTATTTTGTCTCTCAACCTAAGTTTCAGAATGAGGACTAAAAGCACCACAAGTTTGCAAATCACTGCATAAATGGTTCTGAAAAGGAAGACCACAGGCTGGTGGCATGGTTTTACAAAAAGACTTGGAATTTTGCTCAGGGTGATGTAATCTTCAACTGAGAAACTTCCTTCTCTCAGAACTCTTCAAAAGATACTCCCCTTGCATATTGCACATTAAAAATAATAGAAAATGCAGAAGCACTCTTGGATCCTAGCAACCAACTGTAAATAAAAACTATTTACATTTTATAGAGTGTATAATATACTAAGATTCCTCAGAGGAAACCCTTATTCTTTCTCAGTTCCATTTTTAGAAGGTTCAAACAGCCCTTTGTTTACAAGGTATTATTCAAATGTAACATACCAGACTGGGCACTTAATTTACCTTGGAAAAATATAGCACTGAATCATTCCTTTAAGTTTTCAAAAAGGGGACTCCAGGGAATGTTTTAATGTAACACTTAAAATCATAAAACAGCCTGTTAAAAGAGCCAAATTTTCCTACTTGATGTTCTAGAGGACAAGCTGGAATATCTGAATTGCTTTTCCACAGATTAAGAAGTGTGGAGAGACCTGCTCTTAGGCATTCTGGATCCTTGCCAACAAACCTGTCCTTCAAGAAAGTGTGCCTCGGAATATGAGAGGCAAGTTGCCTTTTGTACCAAGCCTGAAAAACACTGGGATGCTTCTATTCATATCACCCTACTTAATTTACAACACGTTGGGTAGCATGTCCAGATTCACATGTAAAAATTTCCACTGAGACCCACTTGGGGAAGGTCTATGATTATACAAGATAAGAAAACCCTTGACTCTGGCTCGTTTACAGTTTACGTTTTATTTTTGTTTATCCTCCTAGGGGTAATGATCATATACAAGATGCCCATAATACAAAATCAGTTAACTTACCACCACCACAACAAAAACATTGTCTTTTAAATTCACACGGGTTATAGTATACAGCCGAGAAAACTTAGAATTGGCTCTTAAAATGATAAGGTAGGGGCGCCTGGGTGGCTAGTTGGTTAAGTGGCCAACTTCAGCTCAGGTCATGATCTCGCGGTCTATAAGTTCCAGCCCCACGTTGGGCTCTGTGCTCAGAGCCCAGCTCAGAGTCTAGAACCTGCTTCAGATTCTGTGTCTCCTCTCTCTGCGCCTCCCCCTTTCAAAAATAAATAAACATTAAACTTTTAAAAATAAAAATAAAATGATAATGTCAAGATCAAAATTTGGATGATGTAGTCTGAATTATCATTTTGTTCCTCAAAACAGATGAGCATTGGCCTTTCAGTTTTCCTAATCAGTAGGTAACATTCTGGTTTAGAAAATATAATGCTATAGTTATAACTTGTATTTATTTTTTGCTAAATGCCAATAGTGTTCTCAGCATGATGTAAAACATAAAATGATGCCATTCCCACTCCAGGGATTTATTTTCAGAGACAGTACATCAAATAAGACAACAGCAGCTGTTAAGAAACTTCTGTATCAGAAATATGTTGTTTTGGGGGGGAGATTTTTACACCAATGTCTCAATGTTTTTCTATTTCTTTTGATGCACTCCCTATTCAGGAGAATATATACTTAAAGATGGTTAATATCTGAGATGTCAATAAAGGAATTTTGTTTGTTTATTTGTTTGGTTTTTCAGGATAATTTGGAAGATGCTGAGAATTTAAAGTTGATCAAAGTATTCCTGTTGCTAATGGAAACAACTCTGGGCACTAGCATATGGAAGAAAAGTCTGGAATTTCCTGAGTAAAAAGAGTATGCACTTAACATGTTGAAAAAAATAATGTTAATTTTCCATGATTCACTGAACAACCTTTAGTGCACCATGTCTACCAGGTATCATAAGAAATCAACATGGCCTGTCTTAAAATAGATATTGATGCAAAGATGGAACTGTAGTAATTATTAACTTTATTAAGTATATCCTTTATATTAATTGTAACTTTTTAGACCTCTTCAGGCAAGATCTCTTCTTGGCCCTTCTGTTGTCTCTGACACTGATCATCCCTTACGTCCATCTTCTCTTCACATCTGGCTTCCAAAAAAACTATTCTCTTTCCTTTGATAATTCTTATCCATTAGTTATTTACTTGGGAAGTCAGCCCCTTTTTCTCATTATTCCAAACTGGTTTGAATCTAAAACTTTCTTGTCAGAAAAATTCACATGCCATCTCTATTTATTAATCACATTGTTGTAATTTACCATTATAATTCTGTAGCACTTGAAAACCTTTATCTCCTTTGATTCTTAAAGCACTATAGAGATACAGACAGATTAGATATTACAAGTCCCAGTCAGTATGAATCTAAATATCTTACCCCAAAATTGTGCTCTTGTTGTGTCAGAACCAAGATAAAAAGCCACGTCTTCTAACTTGTCAGACTAGAAATGTGCCCATGACATCCCAGTGCTATGAACATGAGCATGAGAGTCAGTCTTCTTTGATTTAGTATAATCAAATATATCTAATATACCTACTTCTTCCACCCATTTATATTTTATCATGACTTAATGCATCACTTTAACATCTCCTTAGCTCCATCTGGTTATTCTGGGAGCTTGTCATTCACAATATTTCAACCTATCGATCTCTTACATGTATAAAAACAAAGTTTCTTGTCAAGTCAGTTTTTTTTTTTATATCTGAACTGAGATTTTCTTAAACACCACTCTGCCTTAACCCCTTTGTCATTAAGTTTAATTTTATCCCATTTTGTTCTGAATGGTTTTTATTGGTTCTCTTACATTTTCCCTATCTATATCAGTTGGTAGGGGTCACTTTAATTAGATACAGAGATTTCTATAAATGAAGGTTGATGTGAAGGACTTTACAGCTCTAGTGTCATAAATTAAGTAGACAAATAGTTATAATTTTCCCTGATGATGGCCTGGAGCAACGAGTTTAGTTTACACTTAAATACATAATCCAAAACACGCATGCTGATTCTACACTACTACAGCACACTGTTTTCTAAAGTGCATACAGTATATTTTTTAATCAGGTGTTCACTTGTTAAGAATCCCTCCGTCAAGTTTTGCGGAAGCCTAGATTAAATAAACAATTTTTATCATGACACATCTTTTAGGATTGATGTTCCATGGAACAACAATTTTTAACTGTGTACCTAAATCTATACAAATAGAGCTAGAAATCTAAAGACAGAGTTTCTCACAGGATTTTCAGTACTTCCTGTTTCCCATATTTCTGGAAACACTTTGAGAAGAGACATGCATAAAAATTTGGCACTTAGCTTCTAGTTTGAAGCAGAGGTGCACTTTAATGAAGAATAAAATAAACAAAATAATCTAAGTCCTAAACTTCAGTAAAAGGTTCTAATTGAGTGTATACAAAACCTTATTTGAAGATTTTGGTTGACTTCTTTCCATTTCCACAGTCAGCCTCCTCCAACATATCTTATTGGAAATATTTCAGATCATTGAACACATCTTGAAACTTTCACAGAAAAAGCTCTCCCTTTCAAATTGTTTCCCACAAGAGAGTTCTTAACATAGCAGCCAATGAATTCACAGTGGTGACAGTTGCCTAAGCTCAATGTATGTAAAGATAGCTCTTAAACAAGGAGGAAGATGTTGAAAATATAGAAAACTTCTCATTTTTATCTGTCTGAAACTGCTTACAGATGTTTGCATTTTTTTAATTGTTTTTAGTATGTAAGGTGTCAACATGTGTTGCAAATATGGGTTTTAATTTAAAGATTGATTTTTCTCCCCTTCTAAACAAGGGCATAGTTAGTGCAGGTAATACTTTAAATTTTTAACTTGAACACAGCACATTTTCTCTTAAAATATAAAGCCAAAAGGTTTTGTAATTCAAATGTGGAGCAGAATCATAGATTACTACGAGTAAATATTGGCAAATAGCTTTTTAAATCTAGGGTAAATAAAAATAAACCAAATATGTGTGGAAATCAGAAAGCAAGGTAAAAACACAAATGGATTCACTTTAAAACATAAAAATGTAATACTTCTATAAAAAGACTGCACAATAAGTGACAAACTAAAGACATACATATTTGCAACATATATGGCAAAGGTTTAATATCCATTCAAGGGCTTATATGACTTAATTAAACAAAGATAAGTCATGTAATAGAAAAAGGGGAAACATACATGAATAGGCTAGTCATAGAAGAAGAAATGTAAGCAGTCAATAAACATGGAAAGATGTACAACCTAACTTTTCAAGTAGATAAGATTAATAAAGTGGTTAGCAAGGTTTGGGAAAATTAGAAAACCCAAGCACACTTG